ATTATTTATTTGCAAAATGTTATAAGAAAAACACTTTTTTTCAAAATTTTTGGACATTTTCATTTACATAGCAAAAAAATAAAAATCCCAGCGGTGAATAAATACCACCAAAATAAAGTTTTATCTGTCTCAAAAAAATGCTAAAAAAAATTCATATAGGTACAGCTTGCATGAGTGCGATAGCACTGAAAGCTGAAAATTGGCCTGGGCAGGAAGGGGGTGAAAGTGTCCGGACTGGAAGGGGGTGAAAGTGTCCGGACTGGAAGGGGGTGAAAGTGTCAGGACTGGAAGGGGGTGAAAGTGTCCGGACTGGAAGGGGGGGGAAAGTGTCCGGACTGGAAGGGGGTGAAAGTGTCCGGACTGGAAGGGGGTGAAAGGTCAGGACTGGAAGGGGGTGAAAGTGTCAGGACTGGAAGGGGGGGAAAGTGTCCGGACTGGAAGGGGGGGAAAGTGTCCGGACTGGGGGGGGGGAAAGTGTCCGGACTGGAAGGGGGGGGGAAAGCTTCCGGACTGGAGGGGGGGGGGGAAAGGGGACTGGAAGGGGGGGAAAGTGCTTCGGACTGGAAGGGGGGGAAAGTGTCAGGACTGGGGGGGGGGAAAGCTTCCGGACTGGAAGGGGGGGGGTCAGGACTGGAAGGGGGGGGAAAGCTGTCCGGACTGGAAGGGGGGGAAAGGTCCGGACTGGAAGAAAGTGTCCGGACTGGAAGGGGGGGAAAGTGGGACTGGAAGGGGGTGAAAGTTCCGGACTGGAAGGGGGGGGGTCCGGGGAAGGGGGTGAAAGTGTCCGGACTGGAAGGGGGGGGGGGGAAAGTGTCCGGACTGGAAGGGGGGGGGGGGAAAGACTGGAAGGGGGTGAAAAAGTCCGGACTGGAAGGGGGGGGGGGGAAAGCTTTGGAAAGGGGGGGGGGAAAGCTTCCGGACTGGAAGGGGGGGGGGAAAGCTTCCGGACTGGAAGGGGGGGGGGAAAGCTTCCGGACTGGAAGGGGGGGGGGGAAGCTTCCGGACTGGAAGGGGGGGGGAAGCTTCCGGACTGGAAAGCTTCCGGACTGGAAGGGGGGGGGGGGGAAAGCTTGCGGACTGGAAGGGGGGGGGGGAAGGGACTGGAAAAGCTTGCGGACTGGAAGGGGGGGGGGGGGGGACTGGAAAAGCTTGCGGACTGGAAGGGGGGGGGAAGCTTCCGGGGGAAGGCGGGGGGGGGAAGCTTCCGGACTGGAAGGCGGGGGGGGAAGGGGGGAAGGCGGGGGGGGGGAAGCTTCCGGACTGGAAGGGGGGGGGGGGGGAAGCGGTGCGGACTGGAAGGGGGGGGGGGAAAGCGGCGGACTGGAAGGGGGGGGGGGGGGAAAGCGTGCGGACTGGAAGGGGGGGGGGGGAAAAAGCGTGCGGACTGGAAGAAGCGTGCGGACTGGAAGGGGGGGGGGGGGAGCGTGCGGACTGGAAAGGCGTGGGGGGGGGGGGAAAGGGTCCGAACTGGAAGTGGTTAACATGTCACTACCGCCACTCTATCCAGAACTGATGAATCCATTTTTCTTTAGGGTTTTTTTTTTTAAATATGCTTTGTAGATATTGTAACCAAAGTATCTCAACATCCTTTTTATTTTGCAGCATTCCTGAGCCCATCTTGTTCAATTTGGCGACTGAGTGAGTGAACGTTCCAGATTTGGCCTGTTGCATTTATCCAGAACACATCAGGACTCGCACGGTAAGTAAATGGCTGTGTTTGCTGACCGATAGTAGTTACCTGATTTATTTAGCGCACATACAATCAAATAAATCGCATTTTGCTGGCATGTCACTCGGGTGGGGGGGGCAGTTAAATACTCACCTTTTGCTCCAACAGTCTGACACTCGCGAAGTCCATGCTGGCACCTTCACCCTGGCTTCTTCTGGGTGCCAGCCATCTTGATTGGCGGGTGTGGGGTGGCGTCACTCCCGCACAGGAGGGTAGTCAGCCCTGCACGCAGGAAGTGTGCCGGAATGTACACAGAGCTACGCATTTGTAGTGCAGTGTGCACTAGAAGGGATGGAGAACAGGCAGATACGTGTGTGCAATGTCTCTTCTGCAATACAATCCCTGCCTGCTCACTGTTTTTAACCGTTTTGCCTTCAGTTCTTTAACTGATTTTAAATTTGAATGAAGGACTATATGTAGACAGTGATTTGGCTGATATCTTCAAAGAATGACAAGTAGAGAATCTAATACCAGATTCACTATTCATTAAAGGATAAGTTCACCTTTGCAACCTGTTTTAGGATGAAACATGTAACATGTTCTTGGCTGTTGTTTTGCTATCACCATGCTCCTGGTCAGCCAGCGAACTAAACAGAATGGCTTTTTGTACTGCTTCTTTCACACTCCAACCCTGCTGCATTGGGACTGCAAGAGGTCAAATGCAGTTGCTTGTATTAACTAATTGCCGACCGCAGATAGCCGAATGACGGCTGCACTGCGGCCGGCCAGTTCTGGGTGGACATCATATGACGTCCTCCCAGAACGTACGGGGGGGCGCGCATCCGGCGATCTCCATGATCGTTGTGTCCTACGGACACAGCTGATCACGTGACGTGGTAAAAGGCCAATCACAGCGGCCTTTTACCACGTGATCAGCCGTTTCCAATGACACGCTGATCACCGGGAAAATGCAAATGCCGGTTCTCGGCTGCACTTTCCTCACACTGTCAGATCGTGAGGAAAGTACTGCCGAAAACCGGCAGTTGTCAGAGCGGGGATCGGCACCGATCATCAGGGTCACTGACCACCAGTGCCCTGATGATCGGTGCCCAGCAGTGCCACACACAAGTTCCGCCCACCTGTGCCACCCAGCATGCACCTTGTGCGCACCCACCTGTGCCACCCAGCAGTGTCACCACTGTTGCCACCCAGTAGTGCCACCACTACCTGTTCCCAGTAGTGCCACCTACCTGTTCCCAGTAGTGCCACCCACCAGTGCCCATCAGTGCAGACAGTCAGTGCCCAGCAGTGATGTCAGTCAGTGCTACCTATCAGTGCTGTCTATCAGTACCCATTATCAGTGTCGCCTATCAGTGCCACCAATCAGTGCTGCATATCAGTGCCACCTATCCGTGACACCTCATTAGTGCCCATCATTGCTGCCTATCAGTGCCCATCAGTGACGCCTATCAGTGCCCATCAGTGCTGCCTCATCAACGCACATCAGTGAAGGAGAAAAATTACCTGTTTGAAAAATTTTATAATAGAAACAAAAAACTTTTTTTTTTTTTTTCAAAATTTTTTGCACTTTTTTTGCTTATAGCACAAAAAGTAAAATGCCCAGCAGCGATTAAATACCACCAAAAGAAAGCTCTATTTGTGAGATAAAAATGATAAAAATTTAATATGGGTACAATCTTGCATGACCGCGCAATTGTCAATCAAAGTGCGACAGTGCTGAAAGCTGAAAATTGGCCTGGTAAATAAGGGGGTATAAGTGCCCGGTAGGCAAGTGGTTAAAGTGGAACTCTGAAAAAATATTTAATTTTTAATTTAGATTGGTCCAGAGAAGTGTTATCTAATGATTTGCCACCTACGTCCAGATGGCGGCTGGGGATGCTAAAAATTTTAGTTTTCCTGGTGGATGCTAGCGTCAGCTGTGAGCTGGGAATATACGATTAGAAAATCAACCGATCGGTCATCCAATGACCGAGAGGCATTCAGTCGTTGGCTGAAATCATGGCCCACATTAACCAGTCTAAAAAAAATTGTTCGGCGGGCAATACGTAGTGTTGATGTCTTCGTACAAGTGGAAGTGATGCGGTGTGCGTGTGACCTTGTAGCCACGCCCTTCCGCCCAGAACGAGCGATATACACAACAATGAGTATAATATCGTTCATGACATGACCTATATACATAAATAGTGATACATAAAATATAATCTGCAGAATTCTGGTTTCATCATCTCATTAGGCCAGTCAACTTTTAACATTTGGATTTTTCGTTCGTGTTGACGAAGATTCCTCGGACATAAACATCCGGGTCATCTTCTGTTTCCGCTCACGCGTGATAGCGCTTGATAGATTTTTTTTTTTTTTTTTTGTACGACCGTCATACCACCGCAGAGAAAATCAGTCGTTCGTATGCGAAACGAAAAAAGTTTTTACTGTTGTTTAAACCGGATTTTTTCGTTAATATCGTTATCGGTTTAAAACATCCTGCTCATCAACCAAGAGAAAATCGTTCGATCAGTGGTTCCGCCAAATTTTTCATACGATTTTCTTATCGTGTATGCGGGGCATCAGACTTGTGTTCCAGGTCCAGTACAGCGGTGAGAGTCGGTCACTTGCTCTATCCTTGTTCGTTCATAAAATCTTCTAGTTCTTTTCTAGATGAGATGATCCCATGGCTATGCACCTCTTCTTCTGTTTTCCATTCACAGAGCACATTGTATAGAAATCTCTAATTTTCTGCAGAACATTCTTCTTGTCTACAGTGGTACGATATGCAGGGTTTGTTTTTGCTTGGATTTAATGGAATATCTACTAATAACCCTAAGTTTTACTGCACAAATATTATTTGCCTCCCATCTATTTTGACTTTTAAACTGTATTTAGTTTTTTTTGTTTTTTTTTGGTGTTTTTTTTGGGGATGTTATACTGGAAAGGATGTGACCGTTGATGAAATAGCTAACTTTTGGGGAAAAATACTAATCTCCTCTTACCTGACACACGGTAATAGTTTGATAATCCCAAAGTCTGATCCCTGACATTTTATTTTTCTGTGTTCTCAAGATTCTCTCTCTACTAGGTGGCGCTGATAGGCGGCACTGACTGGCACTGATAGGCGGCACTGAAAGGCAGCTCAGATGGGCACTGATATCCGGCATTGATGTGCACTGGTAGGCACTGATATGTGACATTGATGGGCACTGGCAGGTGGCATTGATGAGCACTGACAGCTGGCATTGATGGGCACATGATCAGTGTAGATCTCCCCTCCGAGGAATGCCGATTTACAAGCTCTCCTCTGTTAGCGTGACAGCTCGTGAGGAGAGGAATGCCGATAACCGGTATTTCCCTGTTTACATGTGATCAGCTGTGATTGGACACCGCTGATCACATGACCGAGCCGACATCTTCGACTCTTTCCGTGATCGGTGATCCGATGTGTCCGAGGGACACAGAGCATCGTCGATCGCCGCGCTGCAGGCTCCCTGAGCCGCGCATGCACAGTGAGAATGGGAGGACCGTCATATGACGTCCTCCCAGAACGAGAGAACCACCTTGCGCCCATCATATTACTATGCGAGGTGGTTAAAGATCATTGGTGTCTTACTATTGTCCTTGCCACGTGGTGATGGACCTGGATCTATGCAGCAGATGGGAGGTCCTCATTTACACACAGTCAGCTGTGATTGGACACAGCTGATCACATGACCGAGCCGACATCTTCGGCTCTTTCCGTTGATCGGTGATCCGCGGTGTCCGAGGAGCACCGCTGATCGCCGCTCTGCGCTCCTGGGGCCGCACACGCGCAGTTATAGCGGGAGGACGTCATACGACGTCCCAGAAGAACGAGAGAACCACCTTGCGCCCGTCATTTCCTTATATGGCGGGCAGGAGGCGGTTAAAGTGCACTTATAAAGAGTTTTGAACGGATAAAAGACTTAATTGGTTTTCAATCCATTCCTATAGGAAACTGCGTTTTGGTTTACAAATTTTTCACAATACAAAAAGTCCCGCAGAACGAATTGAATTCGTAAACCGAGGTACACCTGTATATATTAGGGCTGGCATCAAGCATTATGGGGCATATTTCAACAGTATTTGCTAATAGTTAACAGAGAATATGTAGGGTTTAGTTTTTTTTTTTTTTGCGTTTTAGTTTTTTTTGTTTTAGTTTTTTTTTGTTTTGTTTTATTAAATAATAATATATATTTTATGACTTCGCCTAATTAGTTTATTACATTGTGGGGTGTTTTTAAGCAAGCAGCAACGTGATAAATATTAAACGTGTCGCTTGATGTGATAATGAAGGCGTTGAAAAGACTTGCACTTCTGGGTGTACATGTGCACAATAGACACCACCCTACTTTAGTGTGGCACGTGGTATAAATTTCCTTTTTATGAAGTGAATCTGAATATGGAGATATATGTAATTGGAAAACGCTGAGGTGCAAGAATACTGAAGTGTTCACCTTACAGCAGTACATTGCATTTTGTATAGAGTAAGGAAGGGTTACAACTTCTGTAAGGTTTGTTTTTGCCTTCTGTGTCCTAAAGAGAGGGGACTGACATGGGGTAATTCCATAAAAAAAAAAAACCAAAAATTAAAATTTAAGCATTAAAAACACAAGCATAAGTATTTTGTATGCCCATCAACACATAATGCTGTCCAATTAGACCTGACTACAATGGGCGGTGCAAAGACTTGACTCGCCAGCTGTGTCCCCTGCTCCTGATGTTTCCAGTGTGACGTCACTTCAGGTCCCTGTACAGCAGGGCTTGACAAATGTGCTTTGACTCTAATGCCCTGTACACATGATGAGAATATCGGACGAACGATCAGCCGTTTTTTTTTTCACCTGCTAGTCTCACATCGAAAGTGAAAAGGTTATTAAAGATATGAACATTCTCTTATGATGTCATGTATTGCGTTGTATTTCTATTGTATTTTCAGACGACTAATGTACCGATTAAACGAAAAACGTACGATCTGGTATCGTATGAGGAAAAGTTTTGCGCTTGTCTCTTCGGATATTGTCGTACGAATTGTAGTGATCGGCTCCCAAAAGCTGTGTACTATCGATCCGATTATCGGACGATCGAGTCCTCGTACAAAAATTTTCGTACGATTTTCTTATAGTGTGTATGAGGCATAAGAGCCTGCTAAAAAAAAAAAAAATAAATAAAAGAAGGCAAGTGTATGTATGTATATATGTATGTATATGTGTGTGTGTGTGTGTATATATATATATACAGTCAGGTCCATAAATATTGGGACATCGACACAATTCTAACATTTTTGGCTCTATACACCACCACAATAGATTTGAAATGAAACGAACAAGATGTGCTTTAACTGCAGACTGTCAGCTTTTAATTTGAGGGTATTTACATCCAAATCAGGTGAACGGTGTAGGAATTACAACAGTTTGCATATGTGCCTCCCATTTGTTAAGGGACCAAAAGTAATGGGACAATTGGCTTCTCAGCTGTTCTAAGGCCAGGTGTGTGTTATTCCGTCATTATCCCAATTACAATGAGCAGATAAAAGGTCCAGAGTTCATTTCAAGTGTGCTATTTGCATTTGGAATCTGTTGCTGTCAACTCTCAAGATGAGATCCAAAGAGCTGTCACTATCAGTGAAGCCATCATTAGGCTGAAAAAACAAAACAAACCCATCAGAGAGATAGCAAAAACATTAGGCGTGGCCAAAACAACTGTTTGGAACATTCTTAAAAAAGAAGGAACGCACCGGTGAGGTCAGCAACACCAAAAGACCCGGAAGACACACGGAAAACAACTGCGGTGGATGAGCGAAGAATTCTTTCCCTGGTGAAGAAAACACCCTTCACAACAGTTGGCCAGATCAAGAACACTCTCCAGGAGGTAGGTGTATGTGTGTCAAAGTCACCAATCAAGAGAAGACTTCACCAGAGTGAATACAGAGGGTTCACCACAAGATGGAAACCATTGGCGAGCCTCAAAAACAGGAAGGCCAGATTAGTTTGCCAAACAACATGTAAAAAAGCCTTCACAGTTCTGGAACAACATCCTATGGACAGATGAGACCGAGATCAACTTGTACCAGAGTGATGGGAAGAGAAGAGTATGGGAGAAAGGAACTGCTCATGATCCTAAGCATACCACCTCATCAGTGAAGCATGGTGGTGGTAGTGTCATGGCGTGGGCATGTATGGCTGCCAATGGAACTGTTCTCTTGTATTTATTGATGATGTGACTGCTGACAGAAGCAGCCGGATGAATTGTGAAGTGTTTCGGGAATATTATCGGCTCATATTCAGCCAAATGCTTCACAACTCATTGGACGCTTCACAGTGCAGATGGACAATGACCCAAAGCAGACTGCAAAAGCAACCAAAGAGTTTTTTAAGGGAAAGAAGTGGAATGTTCTGCAATGGCCAAGTCCATCACCTGACCTGAATCCGATTGAGCATTTCACTTGCTGAAGACAAAACTGAAGGGAAAATGCCCCAAGAACAAGCAGGAACTGAAGACAGTTGCAGTAGAGGCCTGGCAGAGCATCACCAGGGATGAAACCCAGCGTCTGGTGATGTCTATGCGTTCCACACTTCAGGCTGTCATTGACTGCAAAGGATTTGCAACCAAGTATTAAAAAGTGAAAGTTTGATTCGTGATTATTATTCTGTCCCATTACTTTTGGTCCCTTAACAAGTGGGAGGCACATATGCAAACTGTTGTAATTCCTACACCGTTCACCTGATTTGGATGTAAATAACCTCAAATTAAAGCTGACAGTCTGCAGTTAAAGCACATCTTGTTCATTTCATTTTAAATCCATTGTGGTGGTGTATAGAGCCAAAAATGTTAGAATTGTGTCCATGTCCCAATATTTATGGACCTGACTGTATCTATCTATATATATATATATATTTATTTCAGGTACTTATATAGCGCCGTCAATTTTACTCCACGCTTTACATATATATTGTACATTCACATCAGTCCCTAACCCTCAAGGGGTGTACCATCTAAGGTCCCTAACTCACATTCATACATGCACATACTAGGGACAATTTTAGACAGGATCCAATTCACCTACCAGCATGTCTTTGGAGTGTGGGAGGAAACCCACGCAGGCACAGGGAGAACATGCAAACTCCAGGCAGGTGGTGCCGTGGTTGGGATTCGAACCAACGACCCCTAGTACTGCCAGGCGGAAGTGCTAACCATTTAGCCACTGTGCTGCCCTATATATGCTTCGCATGGGTTGTCAGCACCTGGGGCAAGGCAACTTTTAGGCGACGAGCTTCATGCGATGCGATTTGCCGCAGGACAATCGTGGCAAAACTGCACCATGTTTTGGAGCCTGCATTTTGCAATCAAAGCAATTTTGCCGTGATCCCAAAATGACCAGGTGTGAATGGAACTGCGGTTCTGGATGCGGTTTTAGAAGCACAGATTCGCATGACAGGCCTAGATATGTGTTTCTTATCAAGGTGGTTCACACAGATGCGGTCCACATGTGTTGTGTTTTGAGTGCCATTGCGAAAAGGGTCGTCCTGTGAGTTTGTAGCGGTGCGTTCCAGACTCCCAAGTGATAAGTAGAGTGGCATGTGGACATAAGTGACCATATAATATTATTATTATTATACAGGATTTATGGCGCCAACAGTTTGCTCAGCACTTTACAATATAACGGGAGACAATACAGCAACAATACAGTTCAATACAAGAGGGATGGGAGGGCCCTGATCCTGGGAGCTTACAATCTAAGAGATGATTGCTATTGACAAGAGTTTTTGCATTGAAGTCGATGGGAGGTAGTGTGTGTGAATCCAGGCGCCAGGACACAATTTCTAGTCGCTATGGCGACCTGGCTCCTGGGATGATTCGAGCCTTGCTCTACAGTTTTGCCCTGATACGTTTCGTCACTTCCGACTTCATCTGACCCTCTGTCAGGTGTGACGCCAAGTACAGGGGATGGGGCTGGCGAGTGTGGTGAGACAATATTTTCACCAGCCATTGTACAGTAGTCTGGGCATATCTGACCGCATTTATTAGTGTTGATGGGCATAAAGAATGCTTATGATCATGCTTGTGAGTGTTTTTTTAATGCTTAATTTTATTAGATCGTTTCAATAAATGGGATTACACAATGTCTGGGGTGTAACTGTCAATTTTGGAATGAAGCTGTTCAACTGTAATAGTAATATACAGGCGTACCTCGGTTTAAGAAGGCCTTGGTTAACGTAATTTTCGGTTTTCTAATGAAAATTAATGCCTCGGTTTTCTAATGAAATTAATGCCTCGGTTTACAAATTTTTTTTCGCAATGCGAACGGATTAATTGGTTTTCAATGCATTTACAAATTTTTTTTTTTTTTTTTTTTTTTAATTGTGTCCCTGCACATTATTTATGCCTTTTTCAAAGTGCACTTTTATAAAGCGTTTTTTGAACAGATGTGTGACGGAGGGTAGGCAGGACAGAACACACAGAGTAGATGGCAAACGCACAAAGCTTTATTGAGACAAAAGATGACAGTCACTCAATAGGGGGGTTCGCCGGAAGGGTGACCTCCGCGGGAAGAGAACAGCAAGGAGGGTCTAAAACACTTATAGTCCAGTACAGGGGCAAGGAAGAGTCTGTAGCAGATTGTAATCCAACAGGGGGAGTAGGGGGGTCAACACGGGAGCAGTTCAAGTAAAACAGGGAAAAGCATATGCCCACGGGTCCGACAGGGTGCCCGGTCTCCCAGGGATAGAAAGTAAGACACAGGTACCCGTTGAGGTCTGGTGTAGGCGGGTGGTCTCTCCTGTTGGACTGGGGTCTAGGGCAGCTGGCAGGCAATTCACCCTGGACTGGGGTCTCCGGCCACTAGTAGACAATCCCCCTGGACTGGGATCTGAGGCAGCTGGTAGGCAATCCCCCTGGACTGGGGGTCTCAGGCAGCTGGTAGGCAAATCCCCCTGGACTGGGGGTCTCAGGCAGCTGGTAGGCAATCCCCCTGGACTGGGGGTCTCAGGCAGCTGGTAGGCAATCCCCCTGGACTGGGGGTCTCAGGCAGCTGGTAGGCAATCCCCCTGGACTGGGGGTCTCAGGCAGCTTGTAGGCAATCCCCCTGGACTGGGGGTCTCAGACACAGGCAGGCAATCCCCTTGGACTGGGGTCTCAGGCACTGGCAGGCAATCCCCTTGGACTGGGGTCTCAGGCACTGGTAGGCAATCCCCTGGATTGGGGTCTCAGGCAGGCTTGGGTGCGGTTCCCCCCCCCCTTGGATGGGGGTCTTGGCAGAGTCTAGCCACGAGGTTCCCTCCACAGCTGGGCTCCCTCCTTTTGGATAAAATCAGAGTGCAGCGCTAAAAAATAATAAATACAAACGAAAAAAGTCCGTAATAATTAAATAGATGTATATATAAAACGAATCCCAAGGAATAGCTGGTAAAGCCCGGAGACAATGGAAAGAGTGCGCACTCACCGGACGCGCATGGGAAATGCGCATATGATAAATATCCCCTGGAATATTATGGAAGTGAAGAGAATAAGCTCCAACTCTGTAAATCATTCAGCCTGGAGATGTATGAGAGAAGTCCGGAGATCCCCTTTACAGATGGTATGGTAATCAGCCAGGATCCAGAGCTCCGTCCCTCCGGTGGTGGTGAACACACACTACAGGAATCCTGCAAATGGATTTAGCTTTTCCCTGAGGTTATGTTACTCCATGTGCTGGCGTCCATCTTGGACACGGGCCGCGCTTCTTGTGACCGCGTCCTTTGTCCAGGGACATCCGCAAGCTCGGGAACTTCCTGCGCTGCGGCGACAGGGCTGGGGTGGCATCAGTGAGATGCTGCAGCCCGGATCATCCCTGCAGCAGGTTCGCACTTCTCCCGGAGAGGTGTGAACTTCACCACCTTCTCCTCTCAGGCCAAGCTGGAGGGGGAGAAGATAGAGGCAGGGGTGGTGAGAGCCGCACCTCTCGTCCATCTGCGGCAAGATGAGAGGTGGAGGGGGGGTCAATGGACAACAGGGAGAAATCAAGCTTGGAGACAGTGGACACAGTGAGGGGGGGGCCAGGATGACACTGGGCCCCCTGGGGACATCAGAATTACCTGGTGCAGGAAATTATTTAATGCAATTTGGGGACATGTAGCAAGCTGGCAGGGAGGGGGGAAGCTACAGTAATTGAATTTGGCAGGGTGACACGGAGGACATACAGTGATTGATTCTGAGGGACGTTTGGTACAGGGAATTAATAAGGGGATTAAGCAAAATCAATAACTGGCAGGGGCCCCTATATACCGTGACACAATGAGACTTTTTTTTTTTTTTTACTTTTTTTCTGACCCCGGAACAGATTAATTGGTCTTCAATGCATTCCTATGGGAAACCACGTTTCGGTTTACAAATTTTTTGCAATACGAAAAGCCCCGCAGAACAAATTTAAATTCATGAACCCGAGGTACGCCTGTATTTTGTTTTTTTTTTTTTTTTTTTTTTAAATGTTTACAATGGAATAATAAGGGAATTAAAATAAAAATAGATCTTTTTAATGGTGGGATAAAAAGTGCAAAAGCCCTGAATAACTGCCACTCGCGTCCCTGCTAGTCATTGCTGAATATATTGGCCCCAACTTTTGTTAGCTGCCTGAAAAAAATGACTACTTAGGCCTCTGTGTGTAACCACTTTTCTGTGATCTCATTCATTCATTTTCAGAATGACCTTACCTGTATCCTAAGCATGTGGTGTATAAACAGCTAAAGGTTAATAAACTTTACAGGCCGTAGACCTGTAATAATTGACAGAGTGATGAATGATTTCATTGACAAATGGCATGTGATTGCATCATACAGGTCAACCAACCTCATAAATGTATATTAAAGGTGCTGCAGAAAGCTTTTTAACTATTTTATATACAGACGTGTAAATGTATGACATGAATTACTGAAACGACATATGAATGACTCGGAGGAGCCTTGGTAAAGATCTGACCTTATGGTAGGACGCTAATCCCGGGTTCACACCGGATCCGAATTTGAAATCGTGCAACTCCAAGTGAGGCCGCACGATTTCAAAGTCACGTGTCAGTGCGGCTTCAGGGGCAACATCCGTGCAACTTCATACAAAGATGTCTATGCAAGCCGCACCTGAGATCGCAAAAAAGCAGTGCGGGAACTACTTTTAAAATCGGATGGAGTTGGAGTCGCACCGATTTTGAATCGTTCCATTGCGGACAATAGGGTGCGACTTGTCATGCAATTTGAAACTGTGGGCTTGATCGAGGTTAGGATTTTTTTTCTTTTTTTGTGTTTTTTTTTTTTTTTTTTAAAAAAAGAATAGCGTCAATAAAGTGGCGCTCCACCCAAAAGAGGAAGTTCCGCTTTAAGGACTGCTCCCTATTAAGGATTGGCACCTTTGACGGGTACCCGCTCCCACTTCCAGTCTGATCGCCTAGGCCAGGGGTGGGCAACTGTGGCCCTCCAGCTGTTGTAGAACTAAAAGTCCCATGAGGCATTGCAAAACTGACAGTTACAAGCATGACTCCCAGAGGCAGAGGCATGATGGGACTTGTAGTTCACCAACAGCTGGAGGGCCACAGTTGCCCACCCCTGGCCTAGGCGATCGGAATCGGAAGGTGTTTCTTCCCTCCCTCCCTGTAGTCTTTTCGAACACGTGACAGGTCCCAGAAGACTACGGGGCCATTCATGAAGCGCAGCGCTTCTCGCACATGTGCAGTGGGTACCCAGCTGTGAAGCCGCAAGCTGTCACAGCCGGGTGCCCACAGTGAAGATGCCGGCCTCCTGGAATACAGGACGGCCTGTGAAACGGGCTGGGGGGGGACACACCGAGGGACAGGTAAGTGGCTGTTTTTTTACAAGTCAGCAGCTACAGTTTTTGTAGCTGCTGACTTTTTTTAATTTTTTGACAGTGTGAATGGAACTCCGCTTTAAAGCGGCGCTCCACCCAAAAGGGAAAGTTCCACTTTAAGTACTGGTCCCCCTGCTCCCGTGAGGAATTAGCACCTTTGGGGAGCGGGTACCCGATTTTGACAGGTACCTGCTTCCACTTCTGCTGTGACCGTCTAAGTGTTTGGAAGCAGACGTTTTGACGAGCCCCAGAAGACTACGGGACCATTCACAAGGCTCAGTGCAGTGGGCACCTGGCTGTGAAGCCAGAAATATATATATATTTTTTTTTTTAATATAACAGACTCATTAAAGCAGAGCTCCACCCAAAAGGGGAAGTTCCACTTTAAGGACTGGGTGCCCACACTGTAGATGCCAGGGGAGCGAGGACAGCTGGTGAATATTGAAACCGCTGGATCGTAGAGACAGTTGAGTTCTTTAAATGTCAGCAGCTACAGTTTTTGTAGCTTTAGGTTTGACTGGAGCTCCACGTTAAATGAATAAAAAAAAGAAAAAAAAGTCTCTGTTTTCCTGGAGGGCTAATGTAGTTGTAGTAGATTTCCTACACTAGATGAAAATTATCATCACAGACCTTTGCAAAATGAATGCCCTTATCGGCCCCAGAATTGCAGGTACAAAGGTTGTAGATGCACCCCAGACTGGTGGAGAACCTTTGCTACACGACAGATTGATTCTTACTAATAAAGCTGTTGATTTTCTGGATAATTTTTTTTTTTTTTTTTTTTTCAACTTCACATTGTCTTGGTTTTTATAAAATAAGTTACACATGTAATGGTTCTTGCTGTGAAGACAAGGAATGTAAACCTTTTTGATCGTATTTAAAAAAGGCCGATAATAAAAGAATAATCATATGAATCTAGTTACTCTTAATACATTGAAGATGCTGACTGTTCATTGTGTGCATATAGAGTCATCTCAGCGATTTGCTGGCATAACACATCCTATTTAGGGTAAATATTGAAACAAATGCCTTTCATACCGAGCATACCAGGCACTGACCTGCCATTGCAAACTAGTGTTGAAAGCTGAGCTCCAGGCATATGTAAAAGACAAAAATGAAGGCTGCGCTGTATCCGTTAAAATACGGCTCAAAAAAATGAAAGGAACACTTTGAAAACCCATCAGATCTCAATGGGGAAAGATCTCCTGCTGGATCTCTATACTGATATGGATGGGGTAATGTGTTAGGAACGTAATGATGCCCCATTTTTGGATGGAAATTAAAATTTATCAACATACAGAGGACTGAATTGAAAGACACCCCGAAAATCAAAGTGAAAAAATGATGCAGAAGGCGAGTCCATTTTGCTGAAATTTCATTGAATGGTTCTTAGTAGTTTGTATGGCCCCCACGTGCTTGTATGCATGCCTGACGTCGGGGGAGGCTCCTAATGAGACCACGGATGGTGTCCTGGGGGTATTTCCTCCTAGATCTGGACCAGAACATCACTGAGCTCCTGGACAGTCTGAGGTGCAACCTGGTGGTGTCGGATGGACCAAAACATGACATCTCAGAGATGTTCTTTTGGATTTAGGTCAGGTGAGCATGGGGGCCATTCAATGGTATCAATTCCTTCATCATCCAGGAACTGCCTGCATACTCTCCCCACATGAGGCTGGGCATTGCCGTGCACCAGGAGGAACCCAGGACCCCCTGCACCAGGAGGATCCCAGGACCCACTGCACCAGGAGGAACCCAGGTCCTGCACCAGCGTAGGGTCTGACAATGGTTCCATGGATTTCATCCTCATACCTAATTTATTATTATTATTACTACGAGTTTATATAGCGCCAAAGGGTTTGCTCAGCGCTGTACAATAGGATGGCAGTTAGGGTGCCATTGTCTAGCCTGTAGAGGTCTGTGTGTCCCTCCATGGATATGCCTCCCCAGACCATCACTGACCCACCACCAAAAGGTCATGCTGAACCATGTTACAGGCAGCAGAACGTTCTCCACGGCTTCTCCAGACCCTTTCACGTCTGTCACATGTGCTCAGGGGGAACCTGCTCTCATCTGTGAAAAGCACAGGGTGCCAGTGGTGGACCTGCCAATTCTGGGGTTCAATGGCAAATGTCAATCGAGCTCCATGGTGTCAGGCAGTGAGCACAGGGCCCACTAGAGGACGTCGGGCCCTCAGGCCACCCTCATGATGTCTGTTTGGTCAGAGACTTTCACACCAGTGGCCTGCTGGAGGTCATTTTGTAGGGCTCTGGCAGGGCTCATCCTGTTCCTCCTTGCACAAAGGAGCAGATACTGGTCCTGCTAATGGGTTAAGGACCTTCTATGGCCATGTCCAGCTCTCCCATAGTAACTCCCTGTCTCCTGGAATCTCCTCCATGCTCTTGAGACTGTGCTGGGAGACACAGCAAACCTTCTGGCAATGACACGTATTAATGTGCCATCCTGGAGGAGTTGGACTGCCTGTACAACCTCTGTAGGGTCCAGGTATGGCCTCATGCTACCAGTAGTGACACTGACCCTAGCCAAATGCAAAACTAGTAAAAAACAGTCAGAAAAGATGAGCAGGGAAAAAAATGTCAGTGGCCTCCACCTGTAAAACCATTCCTGTTTTTGGGGTCGTCTCATTGTTGCCCATCTAGTGCACCTGTTTTTAATTTTATTGCCACCAAAGCAGCTGAAACTGATTAACAACCCCCTCCGTGACTTACCTGACCAGATCAATATCCCAGGAGTGTCACTGACTTGATGCTAGATTCGGATTAAAAAGTGTTCATTTTATTTTTTTGAGCCCGTGTACATCATTAAATGTGTGTCCCTGTGCCAAGCACCTAAGTTTAATGATATTGGCCTCCTGTAGTCCCAGTGTAGAAGCTGCACAAGGAGCCAATCTCTTTTGCTGCTTTCCAAATACTCTTTCTGGTTGGAGTGATGTAGAGAGGAGCCCGGCAGTCTGCTGTTTCTCCATTCACTGTACAGTCACAGGTTGAGGTGGGATGTAAGTTTCTGTCCAACCAGTTGTGAAATCTACAAAGTCCGCCCGTGTGGAGGGAGCCTTAGACGGCAGAACACACCGCAGGTCTTCTTTGCGGGTCCCAGAACTAGTGTAGAAAAGGGCCCATTTCCTATTGTCTCCATCTTCTTGCTGCTAATGCTATGCGTATAAACATACCATGCAAGTTTCTGTGAGGTGTTTTTGTTTTACTTTCTGGTACGCCCTGTTAAGATATGCAGTATTCTGGTCCCTTTGTAATCAGTTCAAGTTGATGATAACAGTCGATGGATGAGGCATCGTTTACTAAAGCAAAACTATACTTGCCTCCCCACCAGCAATACGCCTAGACATCCTCACCGGGATCCTCGGCTATCCTGATTGGCTGTGTGTGTTTGGGATGACTTCATTCAGAGGGCCATGCTTATTAGAGTTTATAATCTAGAAGACTTCTTTTGCTGTGGAAAAAAACATTCCCCTCTGGGTGATCTATGTACATTGCAGGGGTATTATCACACTTCCTTGCAGCTTCCTACCTTTTTTGTTCTGATGAAATGACTGTTTCTCTGTGTCCATGTGCAGAATGAATGTGAATGGCAGTGACTTCATAATTACCAATTGGCTGATGCACCTGCAGGGCTCTGAGGAATGTGGCAGGGTCTGCATCCCTTTAGACATGATTTCTTTTGGGATTATCTCACCAAAAATGACATTTTTGTTGCAGGGGATGCCCAAAATCTGACTTGGTGCAGACTTCTGAGAAAACCAGTGAGCCAATCACACAGTAGGAAATAAACAATTTTTGGGGGGCGTTGTGTGTACCATCTGTGTACAGACCGCCTCCATGTTGCCATATTGCATTTTACATAAAATTACATTATTTATTACATTATTATTTTTATAACATTCAATTACAAGATGACTTTTATCACAATTGTAATATTATTATTATTTCAGGCACTTGTATAGAGCCATTAATTTACGCAGCGCTTTACATATATATTGTACATTCACATCAGTCCCTGACCCTCAAGGGGTGTACAATCTAAGGTCCCTAACCCTCAAGGGGTGTACAATCTAAGGTCCCTAACTCACATTCATACATACACATACTAGGGCCAATGTAGACAGGAGACAATTCACCTACCAGCATGTCTTTGGAGTGTAGGAGGAAACCGGAGTACCCGGAGGAAACCCACGCAGGCACAGGGAGAACATGCAAACTCCAGGCAGGAGGTGCCGTGGCTGGGATTCGAACCAATGACCCGAGTACTGCCAGGCGGAAGTGCTAACCATTTAGCCACTGTGCTGCGCATATATATATATATATATATATATAAATCTATTATTTTTTTTATATATCTCTATATATCTATAGATATATATATTAAAAAAAAAATATATATATATTTATTATTATTATTATTATTATATATATTTTTATATATATATATATATATATATATATATCTATATCTATTATTTTATTTTTTTTTTTTTAACTTTTTTTTTTTTTTTGTCTCCCCACCCCCATAAAAGTGGAGTCTTCTTTAACCTCTTGGCTCCGGCTGCACATTTGTGTGTGATTTCAGAAAAATACTCTCCCTGCGCGCTCCCAGCACACATGTCCGGTACTCACTGAAAGGTCTCGTTCTCCTCTTTCGATCGGGACCTTTCCCGATCATGTGACGGCAAATCACGGCGGTCACATGACCCTAAAACCCCACTCCGGCTTCTGAAACCCTTAAAGGACCGGGAGGCGCCGGCGCCAAGGGGTTAAAGATGTTTATTGTGGCCACTGATCTGCCTTCATTATTTTAGGATCGTAGTTCTATCATTTCACTTGTGAATTATTGGTGGCCTACCTTTCTGTGGAGGCTGCTGTAGCTGAGTCATGCATGAGACCTCAAACTGTGCTGTCTGACCCCGCGTTGTAATTGACGGTTTTTTAGCAGCCCTTTAATTAGCAGTCATGA